TCCACCAGACTGGCTTGTATTTGTGGGAAAAGTTTTAAAGAAAATGGTTTCTATTTGTGAGAGTGAGTGTTTAATGAATCTATAAAGTAACAGGCTGTTTATACTGGCTACTACTTGACAGTGGGAAATCCAAAATGCATGCTTACTCGGTTCTGGTCTTCTCAAAGCTAGATCGTTTTTTAATAGTGCAATATTCTAGAGATAGCTTTTAAAATTAACGAAATGTGAGAGTCCAGAAAAGTTAATAAAAAACAGCTCAATCCTGATGAACTTGGCTGATAATCACAGAAATCATGAAGAATAAGTCTATCTGTAAGTATTTTTTTCACAATAAATCTATAATGGAATTTAAATGAAACACACCATTATAAAAGAATAATTCTTACACAGCAGAGAGCTACAATACATTTGAATGTAATGTTCACATATTTATTATTTTAATCAATAAATGTGTATTTTATAGATTTAATTTGCTGGAACTATAATATGGTAGCTACTTTATTAGCTATTAAAGAGAATTTGTTATGCTTTGGGTGCTCTTAAAAGGCATCCACATCTGAGTAAATTAGTCATTAGGTATTAACACAAATACTTATGAAAACAGTATAAGAAAAAAAGTCACACCGAGGATAAATACTCTTTTTAATTCTAAACCTAATGAAAAAATTTAAATTTGATAAATTATGAATCCTGATTATTAAGAAATAATTATGAATATAAAACAATGAGAGTCTAAATGTTTTTCAATTTTGTAGATTACTTGTCATTTTCCCACATCCCAGTTGGTTACTTATTTGGTTAAAAATAAGCATTTAAAAAATCTGAACACTGTTCAGTTCATGATGAAATACCTAGTGATCCAATAAGCTCATTAAAATGTATTAGTAATAGCTTTCAATCTTGAGGGGAAAGATATTGATTAGTAAATCATCGTTTGCCTTTCTTTTTAATCATCAAAGCACCAAGTGGTTATTCACAATTGGCTACTTTTATTGCAAAACTGAGAAAATACACTAGAACTGGTCACCTCCATACTTTATTTCTGACAGGACGCTTGGAGGAGTGGGTTCATGGCTTATAAAATAATTATCTATGGAGACTTTGAAACTGGATAGGCCTGCAAGAGAGTAATTGATACAAATATTCTTGACAGTTCACCAAGAATGCTTTGAAATGATAGTGATAAAAGCCTTTAGGTGTTATTGATGAAGATATTTGATGACCAGTATAAAACGGTTACAGTGGCTATTTGATATAGCTTCAAACTAACTAAATCAGGAGACCTGGCCGGTAACTTTCCAGTATATCTTCAGTAGAAAGATCACAATGTTCATGGTTCTATTTTGTCTTTGGATCCTCAGAAACTAGTTTTCTCTTTTCTAGGACAGAATAAACATTAGATTGTACCCTTTTGTTTAACAATTAAGATTGAACATTATCAATCAATAATATTCAAACACAAACTCTTTTTTTTTCTTTTGCTCCCTTTCAGAACTCCTGGATTGTAAACATCAAAAATTATTAAAATCATCTAGTGCATATGGTCATGTATAGAGAAACTGCTCAGAGACACACTCCTAAGTATCTAAATAGACTTATTTAAGTAGTTGCTAAATTAAAACACCAGCAACGCCAGGTGTTACCCTAATTAATTTTGGTAAACTCAATGTGAGTTTGTAAAAAATGTTCGAAATTAGAAGTCTGCCTTTTTTATTTTTTTCAAGTTTCTCCAATTTGAAGTTATTACATGAAAGTGTTTTGATCTTGTTTCAAATAGGTCTACATCATCGGGCTGATGATAGAAATTTGCCAAGATATCAGACTTTGCTCTTATTAAATGATGATGAAATGTTGATCAACAGCAACTGTTTTATAAAGTGTCTATTCACTAGGAAGTGCATTAAAACCAAGATGAAAATACTGAAAATAAAAACTAATGTGTCTTTGGAATTGTATTAAGTTATTATTTTAAGTAAACATATCAAAACAAAGACATATTCATTAAATTCATTCAGCACCATGTCATCATAAAGGAAGAATATCTGACACTAATGTTAAAAGAAAAAAGTTTAGGCAATGTTACTTCTTGGGTAAAGACACAACTTTGTCAAAAGACAAAATTTTCGAATTTAAGTGTATCTTCTGCAGAATTTTTTTTTCTTAATATATTTGTCCTTTTAAAGCATTTCCATCTCTCATGTCATTTTATCTATAACCCTCTGAAACTGATACTGTTTTTCCCACATGAGAGCAGAAATAATATAGAGTGGTCAAGAAATCTTACCAGGATCACATTTACCAAGTAAAACTAAAACTGAAATTCAGGAAGGATCCTAGACCTACTTTCTCAACAACCTACTCTTTGAAATGAAAAAAAAAAAAAAAAAAAAAGAAAAAGAAAAGAAAACCTTAAGAGACCAAAAAGCGTGTATTTTTCATCATAAACCATAATCATAATATCCAAACACCTCTGGGATATGTTTTAAGAAAAAAGTTAATTTGTGCTAATCTTGTCAAGGATTGGTGTTATATTCCAGTTTGTGTCTGAACTCTTTGACGACAAATATCCTCTTTGCTAAATTCCTGAAATGTTTACACTGTCGTTCTAGTCAGTCACAGCTCTTTTAAAAGACAACATGAAAGAAGACAAATTAACTGGACACACAGCAAACTGAAGCACTGGTTGATAATGCAGCATCAAGGTCTGGAAATCCCACCAGTTGTGTTCTTTGCATTTATAACGAGCACACACACAGGCACTATTCCAAAAAGAAACTCCACTTTGATTTAAAGAACCCACAAATCTAGAAGTCAAGTGAACGGTGAAAATGGTATACATGCTTCTATATGTTTGGGTGTAATACGCACACACAGTCTGAGTCCTAATAGTATCTTTCTACTTAAGTTTGATTTACTTAACCGTAATAGACCAATCATTTTGCATAAAGGACATCATGATGTACTACAGTTTATAAAATTATTCATTCCCTTTTATAGTTTTTGGCTTCTTAACAGGAAAAAAACCCATTAGAGGATGAAATCAAATAATATTACTTAATTAAAAAATAAATTAAACTGATCACTACATGATACTGTATCTATTTCATATGGAAAACATTATTATTAAATCAATGTAGATTTTAAACAAGTACATTCTCCATCCATCCCAAAAATGTGTGTGTGTGTGTGTGTGTGTGTGTGTGTGTGTGTGTGTATAAAGGAAGTAAGTTTGGTAAATTGACGGTCTCCCCAAGGACCTATGGTCCCTTGCATGCATAAGGAAAAGAAAACCCTTCTAAATACATGAGGTGTGGTGGTATTTACCTAGCCTGGAACATGTTTGTTTTAAGACAAGTGAGTCATAATTTTTCTGGACACTGAAAAGCAATCCATATGTGTGTTTTTCTGTGTGTTTTTCTGTGTTTTTTTTTTGTTTTTTTATGTTTGCTTTTTCCAGATCTGTGATTGCTGAGTGGTGTGGCAAGAAATGCATATTTTTATTATTACTTCCTTTTAAAATGTTTTTGTCTCTACTTGCCTAGTTTCTCCTGTGTTGCCTGATTTGAATACCTGGATAGAATTTTGGCAATACAGACATTCTGAGTGCAGTGGTGGTTAACTATTTTGGGGTCACTTTGTTGAACATGGAAAAATATGGACCTCTTTCCAGAAATAAAGCACAGAAGTGCTGTATTTTCCAGTGATGTTTGCGTTTGCCCATTAAGTTTAAGTACCTCTGTACTCCTGGCTAGTGTGTGTGTGTGTGTGTGTATAAAGGAAGTGAGCATATTTACGACAATAAAATTCCAGTGGATAAAATGCAGAATTGAGGAATTGGAATTCATTGACAAATTACTTTCTCAGATGAGTAAAAACTACCTTTTGCATCACACGAAGAAAAGCACTATAACTCTGCAATTTCACAAGCCAAAGTTGCAATTATCTCTCTTATTTCTTCAAGATCTTATCAGCGGGCTTTACAAGCAGAAAAATTATTGATCAGGGATCCACACTGATCAATGTAAGTACTAAAAATATTTCCAGAGAAAATTTAAAGAATAAAATTTCTTAGAGAAGAGAAAGAGTAATAACACATAGTTGGATGACTGTGTCTTAATAATATCTTTTTGCCTCACTGTGTGAAAACTCCAGCCCTTCCACATGGAAGCAAAACAATATCAACAATAATAACAACATATCAAAATATTCAAAATATATTCTGTTGTTGTGTTGAGTTCAGTCTCATGGCAGAAGAACTTTACTGGTGCTCAATTGACTCACCTACAACTTTGAATTTAAAAGAGATTTATTTGGGGGGCGAGTTCCCATAATTTTCTAAATTAGCTTTAATTTTCTTTATTTTTTTTTTTCAATTTTCCAACTGGTTCTAGTTTCTTAAGCCCAAAGACTTCCATACAAGGGTCAAAAAGAACACTGCCCTTGAGCAAGCTCCTCTTCCCTCACCCTACTGGAAAACCCACCTTACCCCCACCCCATGGATTGTTTATTTCTTTCAAGATTGAGAAAATAGCACACCAAACATTTCCCTCAAGTAGTCCAAATGACTTTGCTAGCTCAAGATGCCCTTAATACTTCCCCGGCTGTCCTTTATATATTAAGGTCTGTGACCTCAACCAGCAGCAACGTTTTAATGCATTTCTGCAACTAACTGCCATGTTCCCTGTTTCATTAGGGTTTATACATTCCCTTCTCTACATCTCTACCTTCCCCGTTTCTTCCTCTCACCTCGGTCCAATTTATGATTTCCTACCATTCTTCAACATTTAAATGAATGCACATTAAACATTTAAATGGATGCATGTGGAACATTTAAATGACTTTAAACAGATTCATGAATGTGAATATTAAGAAGTTATGCATCCGAGCAGGACCAGCTGAAAATGCATATATCCACAGTTTGAAACCAGGAATAGTCATCACAGAACGGGTCAAACACAGGGTAGATGATTGTCGATAAAATAAAGACATTCAGTCCTTACCTGCTTAACTGCATGGATGACAAACAAATCTGAATAGCACGCAAAAGAAAAAAGTCCCCAGCATCTGAATCATCTGTCTTCCACACTGCTGTGACAGTTTTATACCCTGGAGCTGCCGTCTTTGCTAACACACATTGGACTGGCCAGAATATCTGTCCGCGATACCAGGGTTAATTTGCAACCCCAGTCCCCTCTTCCTGTTTTCAAACAGCTGGCTGGCACCTCACACCGCTGGAACATGCATCTTCTCCTTAGGTGGAGACTGTCCTGCGTTTCCCAGCCGGGTTCCCACTAGAAGGAGGTCCCTTCTCTGAAGGGCTGGTCACGTTCTGGACTCGGTGCAAAGTGAAAGGCTTTCTGGTTCAACTCTTGGGGACTAGGAGAACAGCCATCGGAGACTTAAACTCTCTGGCCACTGTGTGGCTGCAGAACCGCAGGAACCAGCGGCCAAGAAGCACCACCCCCTCCCTGGTGGACGCCAGAGGAGAAAGAAGCTCCTAGTCCCAATCCTCCTACCTCCCGCCCTACCCCCTCCCCCCAGAGGAGGGGGAAATGAAAATGAAAGACCAACTCTTAAGTAGGCTTAAGACAGAACCCAACTCCCACTCTGTGCTTTTAACTTCCTCCTTATATTCCAGGCTCCAGCTCCAAGTTGAAATCCAAGTTGAAGACCTCACTCCTTCCCTCCGGATTCCGGGAGTTGAAGGAGTGGGGCCCTGGGGGTCAGGGGTACTTTAACCCAGGGCCTGAGCTGCCCATTGGCAATGCTGAGCCCTCCTAAGCAGTCGGATGAAGACACCCATTAGGGTTCTGTAAAGAAGGCATCTAGAAGCATCGTATTTACTGATCTTTTCTATGTCTCTGTTTTAAAAAATAATAGTAAATGTTAACGCAGGAAGATGTTGAAATTCCAGCGATTTCAAGTCTGCCCTCTCGTACACAGAGGTTTTGATCAAGTTCGGCCCCCGGAGGGTTGGAAACGGAGCTTTCTGGAAGGATGAGCCCCCCTGGCGCGCCCCACGCTCGGCTGCAAATGCCCCCCGCCAGCATGCGTTCTCCGCAGGGCTGAGCGCGGAGCCTGCGCCGGCGGGTCAGGGCCAGGCACTCAGACCGCGCGGCGCGGGTCACTCCCACGCCGCGCGTCAACCTAGGGCCAGCCAGTCCGCTGGCCACCTCGCCTTGCTGGGTCCCCAGCCCAGGTGGCTTAGGCGTTGCCCAGAGCTGCGGAGACTCTCCAGGCAGAGTCGCCTGTTGCTAGCCCCGAGGCCACAGCGTTCTGGGCTGCGGGAGCCTCTGGGATGTCAATTCCCTCTTCCTCCGCGGAGCTGCGGGTTCTAGTCCAGGAAAGCACACTTACCTAAGCACCGACGCCTGTGCCTCTCTGGTGTAGACTAGGGTGGGAAGAGCAGATCTGACTGCACCGAAAGTTGTTTTGTTGTTTTTTTTTTCCCCGCCTCCCCTCCACCCCTGCGCTACAGCAGCAGCGCTCGGAAGAGGACGTTTGAATGGGGGAAAGATCTTAAACCCTCGTTTCTTCAAATGAAGTCACGGACGTGGATGGCTCGGGCTGTCAGGCAGGACGACCGGGCCGGGAAAGAGACCAGGAAGAAACTAGTGGCGGTGAGGGGCGCCAAGTGGTGCGGACTGTAGTGACGACCCTGCTCTCACGGTGGGCGCCGGTGGGGGGAAGAAGCCCTTGTATCTCGAGACGGGGGGATGGGGGGAAGGT